ACAAACTTACCTTTAACACACGCAATAGGGGGACTTCTTAATTTATTCAAAATCAGTCGTAATTTTAGCATTTTCTTTACTGGTCTGGCAATGTTTCCGGCTTCCGTCGTTTTTATACAGCTTTATTTTTTTTATTTTAAACTGCCCATAGAGATACGATTGCGAATACAGTTAGTACGTAGAATTAGCAGCCAGTTAAGATCCTGTTAAGTTTGCAGCGTTAACGAAATGCCTCTCATTTTAGCTAACTGTTCTCGTAAAGCCCTACTCAGATTAAATAAAAAAGATCCTGGGCTAAAACACGGGAACGTATTTTAAAATAACTGCGTTATAAAATAAAACTGCGTTCAAAAATAAAAGAAACACATTTATTTTTACCCTGTCAAAGGAACTCCCAGCCTCGGCTATCTTCCTTCCCGGAGCTGCAGTAAAACCCACGTGGATAGTAACCCCGATGACCCCTGACCTTCTCTTCTGCAGCAATCCTCGCGACAGCAGAACACGATGGCGAGAATGAGAAAGGATGTTCAGTTTGTTTCGCACGGCTGCCTAAATTGTGTTTGTGTTGTTGTCATTACGGCTTGATCCAACAGTAATGTTGCTCATGGTCTTTCCCTTTTTAAATCTGTAAACATAGAATGTATTAAATACTATGTTATATTTAAGTGATCTTCTCCCATGTATGTTTTTCGTACTACACGAGGATTGAAAAATAAAGATAAAGAATATCTTTAGGTATCTATGAAGAAACGATGTTATTTTAAAAGTTGGAACATTTTTTACTGCCGTCTTTTCTTATAGCAGATGAGATGACTAACATTATACTGACACTATAGCACGAACATAGGTACATGGGATATATTTCTGATGTAGGACTTATCTATATGCTTTACAATGTGTATGTTATACACGAACACATTTTTTATACTTTATGCACTGTATGCACTATGTGCACTATACTATGCATTTTAAAAAAAATGCATTGATTACAGAGAGTTGGAACTTGACGGTCTTGTTTCGCTGTTTGTATTACACTAGAGGGCAGCATTCCCTTTTTAATTGTGACAGACTTAGCTCGGTGATTATGTAACGGCTCAAAGCACTCTCCTAGCAAATGCAAAACTAAATGCAAATTTCGTCTTATGTTGCTGAAGCTGTTTTGTTTGCTTTTGGGGGAAAAAAATAAACAACGGGCCTAAGCCCCCCTTCATATAGAAACTTAACTAAATTCATTATTGCTTCATTCCATAATTGCGAAAACCGGAGTATAAAACAATACGACAATAACAGAAACAAGATTGAGCTCCATCTCAAACACTGCCGGTCTCTTGTCAATATAGCGACATTCACATCAAAGATAAGGCCACACCACATGGGGGCGATTCAGGCTGAAGGAAGCGCCACAGCGGCGCATAAGAGCTCCAGTGTTAGAAACCCATTGTTTCCAAGTGGAAAAAAAAAAGTACAAAACAGTCATTACCTTAAAACAACAATCAAGGAAATATACTAGGAGTAAGTTTGGGTAAAAGGGCTGGAAAATGATTTGTTACATGAAGGTAGTCTTGTAATGAACTACACTCTTATAATCGACTATTTATATTGTTTTTTTGTGATTTTCAATTTGTTGTATTGGCACAACCTGTTTGCTTTAGATTTATTTCATTCAAGGGTTACACATGAAATCTGCTGGATTGGGTTTAAAGAAATAGCAGTGTCCACATTGATGTAAGTGTTTTTTTTTTTTTATCGATATGAGTCACGCAAGAGTGTGGTTCAGTGCCTTAACATTCATACACCCTTCAGTCCTCCCTTTTCTGAGCAGCTGAGTTCTGGCAGGGGTAACCTGGGAATACAAAGAAGAAAGGCCGCAGATGAAGTGCAGCCGGGATGAGTTTAGACATGGATGGTCTTTGACTAATCTAGAGCATGATGCTTGGAGACAACAACAGCTCCTGCTGGGCCTCCCTGACCTTCCTGATCCAACAGGAGTCCCAGAGAAACTCAAAAAGTATAGGAGCATGTGGGAGTAACAGAGACTGAGAAGAGGAATTAGGTTCTCTATAACCATAACTGCACAAAAAAACTGATCTTATACTTTTAATATGTTAACGTATTACAAATGGAAGATTGTGAATTATGCAAGATCAGGGAAACACTCTGTCACAGTGCGGGAACAGGAGAGAGAGAGAGGTAATTTGGCAAAAGGGGGGAAACGGCAAGATATATTTAAATTGAAAAGAAGGGCAATTAAAATGCTTCTTGTTGACAAGCCTTGTACCTTCAGTAAAATTGCACAAGGCCTACTGAAAGCACAAATATTTAAATATGCATATTCTTCAGCGATTAATAGAAATAAAATGTTTTATTTCTACAGAGGTCGAATTAATACAACTTTTGGAGGAGTCTGAATCCTGTCTTTTTGAAGGGTCAAACAAGTAACTATGTTTTCAAACTGGAAGTAGTGTAGGAATCACTGGTTCCACACAAAACATCATCAGGCTGGTGGGCTGCTTTTGTATTTGTGTGCTGACATGAAGATGAATTATTAGAACTCTGGGGTGTGACCAACCTTTAACCATGACGTTATACACAGTATTAAAGATACAAACAGTCAATATACTGTAGGCACATTTGAAAAGGCCATAAACTTTCGCAGCTTCTAAGAAATTAAACTTAAAGAGCCCTTATTAGAATAAAAAGAGCACATCTACTGTCACTCATGTATTGTCCCTGCATTGGCTTTCAATGACATATTTAATTGATCTCAAAATCTTTTTTCTTCTTGAATCACTCAGCACTGTTCAGCATCTTTAACTTGTGCCGATATTTCTTTCTCTTCCATCACTGGGAAGAATCCCGGTTCTGGTGAGCTTCAGGGTACATATGGTTTTCACTGCCGCACAGTTCCCAGTGACTTAACGGATCTAGCCACCAGCTTAGTCAAGATTAATGTAACCTTCACTCAAAGTGAAGTTACAGTACAAAAGACGAATTGGTTGCAAGGAAGGCAAAAATGAAACTTTGAGAGCTGGTTAGTTAAAGTGAATGCTTATAACGCTCAGAAACACAATGCATTCGTTTAACAGAGAAAACAAGTTTCTATTGATCGGAAACCAAGTAGTTTCTACTGATCTGTAACTCATGAAACTGAATGGAAACAGATCGTCTCAGCGCGCGAACTTTCATCAGACAGATGGCAAATTGAGCTGGACTTGCTCCAATTCTTATTTGTAAGAACATCTGCGCTTTGAAGCTGATCAGGTGGAGCTGCCAGACACGGGCAAGGGGGAGACCTTCGGAATGCAATGATCTGCCTCCTGCTTTTTGGGGATTTCACAGATGTTAGGTTTCCGTGCCGCTGTTCAGGCGCAGCTCAGCCCTGATCTGCGAGGCCACGCGTGTCAACTGCTAGGCAGGCCAGCAGAGAGACTATAAGGCTCCTCAGAGGTACGTCTTTCTGCCTTGTGCTGCAAAAGCTCAGTGCGCCGATGGCAAGGAAGATGCAGTTTAACAACCAGCCACTGAGAAGACACGTCCGTCTGGGATACCATGCAAACAAAAAACAAACCATAATGCATGGGAGAGAACGGACTCCGGCAAGATGGAGTTTTCATTGATAAATTCCAGAGCTCTTTTGTTTCAAAATATCCTTAGTGTGTGTCCCAGAGCCACCTAATATTGTGCATTTATACCATCCGTTTTGTACACTTCATGACTTGTACAAATGAGTCTGTGTGGTCATTTATCTTTGTATACACTGAAGTCCTCTGGCACCTGGACAGTTTTAGTCACTATTTTTCTGACTAAGCCTGACTAATTCCAAACCCCACCTCTGAAGGAGTTCTGTTATTTGCTGCTACCTGGGGAAAACCCACTCACAATCGGGTTTTGACGTAGCATAGCCTAGAACGTGCATTGTTGAGCAGCCTATCTGCACTTTTAACAAACTCACATCAGAGCAGGTGGGATTTGGATCAAGTTTGCCTGGTATTCAAGCTGCATGGTGTAACAAGTCTTCGCCATTATCTCACGGTGACTCAACTCTGCCAAGATGGGCTGCATAAGCCAGCTTGAACTGCAAGGTTCACTGCAAGGCAGACTGACCGCAGAGAACCCACTACTGTAAAGTCTCGCTCTCAGTGGAACAACTCCACTCGCTCATTCCTTATGGAAGCAGGTCATGGGTGTACGTGCTGGGAAAAAATAACGGGACTGTGCAGCAGCCAAGCTCTAATGTAAACAAGTTTGTGAACTGAGCATCTGGGACACTTGCACATAGTTTGCTTCACCACTACAGGTGATTGAAAGCTAGCAATCAACTGTAAAAGCCAGCTGTATAGGAAATATTTTATAAAACATAGTGCTTGATTACAGAGATATTTGGTTTTGATTACAGTTTGGATGGAGAATGTCATTTGCTTTGTAGTACCAACTTGATAACTTTCTGAAAACAACCACACATCTGGCCTCATTGTAGAATTCGTATGCTAACAGTAACAAAATCACCTTCCAAAACTTACTTTTCACCTCTTTATTTGTGTTGCACAATTCAAAGCAAAGAAACAAAAAAAGTACAGCACACGGACAAATTTGTTTTAAAAAAGTCAAGCTTTGTCTTCAAAGATGCGTAACACATACAACATTGCAAATTATATTTATAGGATTTTATTAAAAGATGCTACACCAACCTTGCAACAAAATATTTCAGATGCAGTACATGTAAAAGTTTTTTTTAAAGCATTCCTTATATCTATAAAGCAATAAATACTAATTTACATAAATTATTTACAAGCTATATGGTAAGGTTAAGATAAAATATATGATTAAATGATGGCAAAAGAATTTTGTGTATATATATTTATATATATATTTGTAAGCACAGTAGCAAATCTTTCAAGTACTACGAAAAACATACATTGGTTTGGTGAACTGTAAACTGCGTACAGGAGGTGTTCATCTTGATGCGAGCATTCCTTTTACATTCATTTCTCACAGCCACAGTGGCTGGATACCTTCAGGTGATGCTGGTTAAGGTGACAAAGTGCCATAAACTGGAACATTAAACACTTGCATCAAGCACAGGAAGCTTGATTTTCAAACGGCTGTCTCTACTGCCACTGTTGTTCTCTTTGAACACAGCAACGTGGCACGTGTCAAACAAATTCAGCTGACTCTTCCAAACTCGCAAAACCTCAAACGTAAATTTCTTCATCATTCTTTGTGTTGTTGAGGAATACATTTGCCCAGCTCTCTCTCACACACACTCCACCAGTTTTATAACTACCACTTTGTAAATAACAACAGCCATTTCTCTGAACATTCAAGCTTTTTACATGCAAAACCACAATTCTGCACAATCATTCACCCCAATTTGGCTACTCTGTTTCATGACAAAGAAGAAAAAACAAAACAAAACACACCTCCAAAACATGATACACTTAATAAAATACAAATGACATTGTAAAAACTAACTTTTTTTTTGCAGTGTAGAAATTTAGTTTCATTGAATGCTTTCAAAAGCACTTTAGCTTTAGCTTATCTGTCCCAAACACGGACAACAAACAGCTCCTTAAAAATATAACAAACAGAAACAATGACAAAAAAAGAATTGCACACGCTTATAAACACCACACACACACACCATCTGTATGAATGGTGAGAGAAAAAATATTCTAAAACACATTTTGCTCTAAACAAACAGGACATAGATGTTCTAGGTCTGTACATACTGCTAGGTGATCAACATACAGTACTGATTCATTTACTAGTAGTGCAACAAAATTGAGGAGCACGATCTACCACTCAATGCACTAGTCGTGAGTTCCTAGTCTGCTGGTATGGCACCACATGCAGTAGCAGTAACAGGCAGAATGCCACCCAGCATCATCACACTACCCCAGGCACAGAAATGTGTTGGCTTTAAGGAGACCCTTGTGGATCTCGATTATGCATAGCGGGAGGGGAGAAATAAGAAACTTTTTGTAGTCCTCTGAGGATAACAAGAAAGCAGGACTTGCTAAATGCTCGCTGTCTGCCACCCATTCTGAGGCATAACCCACAAGCCTGCCCTCTCTTTCTTTCTGCAGTACATGGGCCAGAAGGGATGTACAGACTTTGGTTTCAATCTAGTCTCATATAAAGCACTCATCTTGGATTTATTAAATCCTGTGCAAGTCTAGAACTGGTTCCCTCACCTCACAACAAGGGAAGCAGTAAATTTGCAGATTATTAAAATGATTATCACATTTCTTAAGGTTGCTTGAAAGACATTGCGTCTGACAATATGGACAAATTTCAACCTGCTCAATGACTGCAATGGACAGTATGTTGTTTGCTGGACACCTCAAGGACTCAACTGCGGCTCTACACTCAAGCAATAATGTACTGAAGGTTATTCTGCTGGTGAAAAAAGAGATTACTTTTGAGGTGACCCACAAAGGAACAGAAAAAAGTTCATTATTGTAAATCTGGGGGGGAATACAGATAGACTGCATATATCCAATTTGCTCTCTGTGGTGCATTTATTTTTGGGCTACAATGAAAAAACATTAAAGTGCTCTTCTATTAGTAAACTAGCTTAGTGTTTCATCTGGGATTTAAATGTAAAAAACTGCAACATGTTAAATGGCCTCTCTCATTTGATATCTTTTTAGCAGTTCACTAATATACCATTTATTCTGTTGAACTCATTCCTCAAGAGAGGAAAAACAGAGACAACAGCTGTGATGTGAAAAAGAAATGTTCAGCCAGCGACTACAGCATGCAAATGAGCCACAGCACTAAACCAAGGAATACTACATTGTCTGAACGCGATTATTAAAAAAGTTAATCTGCTGTTGAACTGCACATTGACCTTCTTGAAAACTACCAGAATAATATTCACATTGCACTGCCAGAAATCAGAAGCCATCACTAGCTCACATAAGTTTTTTTTTCAAGACAGTTGCCACATTTCCTCTTTTCTGAATTTCAGATATACATACCCTGATGCTACATGTGCTGCAGTTTCTACTTAATGACATTTGCATCACTTTGCTGCTACTGCTTGTTGTAGACTAATTTAGAAAAACAGCAGGACATTGTGAAAATATAGGACAGAAATTGAAATCCGGTATTTGTATTTCCATGTCTGGGAAGATGGCAATTCACATGATTTTTCAGCAAGACAGTAGGTCTAAAAAGCTAATTACTTGATATAGCATCAGACTAACTGTATCCTGTTATTAAATGATTTCTAATTTCCTGTGATTAAAAACTAAAAATGTGCTGCTTTTCTGAAACAAATAAGCTAACGAATGCCCATATTAAGCAGTGAAGGAAAGGCCTTGATTACATCACTTTTGGAGGAACATAATTCAATAAATAATCCTCAGTGATATTTTTAATTCCTTATGTTATGATGTAAGGAGGTAAGGCTTTTCTTAATCCAACTCGCAACATAAGGGCATACAAGAGGAAAGAGCCTAGAGAGAAGGGGAAAAAATGACAAAACGCGTTACATTTCAAAACAGAAAGTGGAATTAGTTGTTCTCTAAACAGCAGAGTGGAGAAAATAAAGAGCGTGAGGAAAGTGCTTCAAGGCAGCTTTTGATTGAGAATATAAGGTGAAGAAAAACAAAAGTCACACAGTCTGTCAGACACTACTGGACAGAGCATGACGGCTCACTTGTCTAATGAATTGCTTTTTTGACATCATACTGTGTATAATAATTTTTGCCTCTGTCTAAATCTGACTTCAGTTTGCTTCAGGCCACAGTACACTCTGGGTTTAAAATACACACCGACTTCCTTCCCTCTGAGACCTTAACAGTAAAGCTTCCGGCTTACGCTTGCTTTGGCTGAAACCCACCACACACCTAGTTCTGTTTTCATGTCTGTTTTTAACTGTCAAAACAGAACATTTTTAAAGGTGACACTTCGGAGATGTACACAGTATTATTTATACCGTCACGCATTTAGCAAGTAGCCTTTTGGTATAGTGAGATAGAGTAAAAGAAACATGAGTATCTCAGTCTTCATGGTCCTTCTTACAGACATGAAAGCAGAAAGCCATCCGAGTTGCCTCAATTAAGGGCTGCGGTGCAGACCCAGTCTCCTCTCATTTGTCTCAGGCACTCTCCCCTCACCACAGCGCACGCAGGCTTTAATGGGGACAACGCGCTCTCCAAAGAAATGAGGTCAGACTGTTTCTGCTCTTCACCTGCGGCACAGGATTGGATACACCTCACAGAGTCTGGGGAAGAGGCGAGGATTAAGAGAGAGCACACAAATGGAGAGAGATCGAGAGAGGAGGCGCTGTTTCAGGGCGCTCACGGCTGGGTGCTGAAACTTCTAGTGTGGTCACCACTTCAGGAAGCCAGAGGGCATCAAGCACAAAGTCCTGAATGCAATGCGGAAAGCCTTCTTTCGATACACGTCTTACCTGCAGATAAACAGAACACTCATTATTAGTAAGGGAAAAGTCAAGTGTGGGGAGAAAACATACTAGAAATAAGCCTTAATGGATGACTACTCCTTTGCTGAATTTCTTAAACCACCATGCTCAAATACAGTCCTTGTAATGTCTTAATTGTAATGTAAATTAATGTCACATTAATTTACAGGAGTGAAAGCCACTACACTCTGTAGACTTCAGCCACCATGGCACAATATGGTCTGGTCACTCCAATGTCATCATCCAAAATGGAATATATTGCTAACAGCTCCAAAATATTTCACCAGTCTTAACATGGGCTCATATCTTCAATATCTTCAAATTTGAATCATTTGAAAAATTTGAAAAAGCAAAGATCATTCAGGCCTGCTTTCTGTGCTGTAATGGACAGGTCATCTGGACATTCATAAAAGGTTTGGATTGATGAACAGAGAGAAATATGTATACCAAGTAATCCAGAAATGTGGATGTAGTTCATGTCATGGATGGCTACTTACATCCTGTATTCACTGCTTTGGAAACCTAAAGAGTCAAAAGTCTAGATGTTGGATTTGCTGCTCCCACCAGGCTGTAATGCCTATAGCTGACCACTGCTACTGAAATTAGCACGGGATCACCGAAGTATCATAAAGAACCCTGGAGGCTTTGAGGATGAGAGCTCTCTCCTCCAGGCTGTGCACAGAATTACTCTGTGCCTGGTTCTTAAAAAGGATGAAAAAGTATTTTCCTTGTTTTGTTCCTGATGAGTCTTGGGTGACTGCTGTTCAGTCTCTGTGTTAACGAACCCACAGGGGCAAGGCCTGCCAACCACAAGGATCGATACTGCTTTCAGCACAAAAGACAGGTGGCTTCTACTACCGGGCTCACTCAAGCAAATGTGCTTTCGCGAACAGAATGCAGACACTATGCTGGGGAACAAACAACATCCATGCTGCGTATAATGACTACCTGCCAAAAGCTAAGCCATTCAAAGTCAGTGGCTTCTCTCATCAGATTAGAGGATTCAAGAACACTTTGTACTCCTCAGCCTGATGAGAGAGTTTAACTTGGGCACCTTTCAGAGTTCACTGAAATCCACTCAGGACAAAGGAAGGGGCTTCATTCTCCAGAGCTGAAGAAGATAAAGCTCGCTGACCTCATGATGAGGTCATTGAAATCAGATTCTTAAAAAAAACTCAACCCCCTCAGAACTACAAGAAAGCAAACCTCTGCCAATGCTTAGTGGAAAACCTAATTTAACAAGGTTTGAGAATATCAGTTTAAGGAAATGGAATGTTTACAGCAGCGCAATTTCCAAACAGTATGTATTACCAAACACCATTGTAATGATTAAGAAAATTACTAAACTACTAATCAAGGAACAGTGTTTTAGTGTTGAAGCACTAGGGCCTAACGTTTTCTAATGCTAATCATTTAGGAATGTGCGAAGGGCAAGTTGAAAAAAAGGTTAAAAAAGCATTACTCATAGTTCATTTGAGTCCCCTTTGTAAAGTCTAGGAAATTTCCGGCAATTGCACTTTTTAATGCAAGCCATGTAATGTATGTTCAACTCATAACCACAAAAAATGTATGTTTAGAACTCATAATGAATATCCAACAGGTTTTGTTCAGAACAAATAAATGAAGTAGCAGCATTACAGTCAATAACTTGAATCAAAATCCTGCAACTGGAACAGAAGGCAGCGGTGAGAGAACTCTCCTACTCACATTTGCTGATGTTTTCTATGTCTGCCTGGTCAGTGATGAGGAGGGAGAGTCCCTCCATCAACAGAAGAGCCTTGTGGTACCTCTGGATGGACGCCTCTCCATGATGGAACATTTCGTCCAGCGCTGCTGTCTGGACCTGCATCAACAACACCAACACTGTCACCTACCTGCACCGCACTCATCCGATCGCCTCACACAAGCCAGAAACCACAGGAAACACAGCCAGCGAACTACAGCTCTTGATGGTGCTGTTTTTCTTTTCCACATCTCTCTCCCTTTTCATCCAGGTGTCCACTGACTTCCAGATAATTCAGCCAGTGCTTGATACCAGTACTAAATTAATTCAGGATCTATACGCAACAGCTTCGTACTCATGTAAAAGAGGACTTACAGTGCTAGCATTCTGTTTGGCAATATCTACAAGGCAACAAACCACTAATCAATGCTAGGATAACTCTACAACCCATAAACAAGATAGAAGCAGACTTTACCATTTGGACGGTGTGACTGTAGACCAGCTTCTCCGCCGTGATGCTGTTGATGCGGTCCATCAGCCTCTGCTTGTCGTAGAAGAACCGCTGCAATCGGGTGTTCAAGTGGCGACAGGACATCACGCTAGTCTTATACAACTCGTTCATCTTCTTCACCACTGCAGGAAAGAGCAGGGACAGTGCAGTTAGGACACAGTGTCTGGGAAATGAGGGACGTCAGGTAGGCAAGCAACTCTATAGCTGTGACCTGGGATACCAAAAAGAGGCCTTCAATATAAAAATCATACGGCGCTCAAAATGAGATCACATGTACCTGCTCATTCTACTTGAACAAAAGAATAACATGAATTTCAAGAGGAAAAAGACAGATCAGAAGCCTGTATCTCCCTTATGTAAAGGGCAGGCATGTAAAGGACTGCTAGCACTGTAATTTTATTCAATAATATCTCCCATCGTTCAAATGTGCTGTGGTCTTAGGGCTTAAACCTCTGAAGGGCAAAGGGTGGGCCTGAACTGAATTGTGGAGAAAATTCACCAGTTCCAGGTCAAAGGACTTATTTCTGAAGGAATGGTTAGTTTATCTGAAATCAAACTGAGTTTCAACCCGTTTTTTACTCAATCGTTTGCTGTGCGAACAGCCTGATTGAGGACCACAATGCCTCCTGACCTTGCTTGACAGTTGTGGAGGGACACAACTTCCCCTGTCCGATTCTCTCCATGGCAGACTGCAAGGCAGACGACAGCAGCTCTGCAGTCTTCATGTACAGCACCAGCTGCTCCGCGTAGCTGCAGCAAGACACCAGGGGTCAAACAGTCTTCATTTAGCAACACACTGGGACGCAACTTTATGGAGTGGAGAATGCATGGACCTTTCCAGTCCTCCAGTTCACAGGTTTCAATTGCTTGATTAAGCTAATTTTGTGCTAAACTCATTCATTTCTATCATGCTATGTTTGTTGAGAGATAACTGAAACTGGATATTAACCCTTCATAACTGGAGCCCCTCATTTGTGGGTCACAGGATGCTTTGGGAAAGTGAGTAAATGCATCTACTTTTGTTAAAGACGCTTTGACTGCTCAGGACCACCACTCCATGCGGACACTCTGTTGATGATGGCTGATGCGTAGTCGATGTGAGAAGGCACCACCTGTTTTCCTGCCCCTCACCTCCACTCCCTGCTGAGGAGGCTTATCTGGTCGGCCACCATGCTCTCCTGCTGCCGGAAGGAGGAGGAGTCGGAGGAGCTCTCAAACGTGCTGCCCTTTGCGCTCGCGATCTCCATCACACAGTAAATGAAAGCCAGCATAAACCGCAGGCTGCGCAGTGTCTCGGTGTGTTCCTGCTGCAATGAACAAACAGAAAGAGCACCCAGGGATTACAGATCTCTCACACAACCCAGCAGTCTAAGGCCTAAGCTAGCACGCCTGCCTCTAGTTAAACCATTACTAGTTTAAACTGTTAATGGCCTACTCTCCTTTGTAATCGTTATTACAGTTCTCAGTGATTTTAATTGCCAGTACAGCAGCCGTGGTCATGAGGCTCGGGGGGTACTGGGGTGGTGCATTATAGAGCAAGAGAAGAGAACCTCAAGGTCTATTTCTGGATGATACAGCATCACTTGATTTTGAACAAAAAAGCAGACATATCCAATGATCTAAATAAACCGTGATCATCAGCTAAACTTTTTGCCAGCTTGAATCAGGAAATATACTGTAACAGATGTATTCCTGGTTTGGAGAAAAGGGAACACTTCGCTGAAGTTAATTATTGGCAGCAGCTGAATGCCTCTTGGTTGGGGTTCTCAAAACTGAGCAGGAAGGCTGACTCACCCTAGCAGGGGAAAGAGAGACTGCTTTTAACAGTCAAGGCAGTTCAATCTCCAGCTTAATATGATCTCTTCCTGAGCCCAATTCCTGGAGTAACATTTTCTTCTTGGCCGTTTGAAGGCATGAGCCATGATCCATTTGTCTATCGTTACATTTTTTGGTGAGCGCGCCTGACTTTTTTAAATTCTCATTTTGTATCACCTGTAAACCTATTCTGCTGCGCCTTTTTTATCCCTGTCCAGGCAGAAATCCAGAAAGGATAATGTTACTGAACACGTACCTTGAACTCATTTTTAAAATGTTTTTAGAATTGTTTTAAAATCAGTATTAGATTATAAAAGATCGCCCTGCTCACCTCCATCAGGGTTTCCTCAGGTAGCTCAGGAGCCTCGAAGGTCACGGCTCCTTCTAGCTGTGCGGCTATGGGATCACTGAACCCAAACCGCAGGAAGGAAGGTCCCTCACAACCGTCCACACACATGCCTGTCAGGGCTTGTCGACTGCTGAACGAGCCACCTGAGCTTATAGAGCTAGATGAGCCCACTGTAGGAGAAAAAGAATAAAAGGAAACCGTGCCAAACACTGAGTGCTAAGAAAACTTCTCATGGTTTTAGCATTATTTAAAGATGGCGCCGACTAGGGCAGCCACGGTTTTTTGTTCCCTGCTCATGTGTCTGTTATTTTTCAAATGTGAATGTGCCTGTGTCCGATATATACTGTAATGTCTACATGTTCCGTACCGCGAGCACATTTTGTGACTGTGTTGTGACTCCCCCATCTTTTGTATATTGCCCAGTGTAACTATGTCAGTAATGTTAATGCTCCTTTTGCACCTGTGTTTGTGTTGAACTGGTTCCAAATGTACCAAGGCAAATTCCAGTACCTGACATGTACTGACGAATAAAAGCAATTCTGATTCTGATGACTTAATATTTTCAGTGTATGCTAAATTCCTGAATATTTGTAAGTGACATTTAAGCAGATTAACTTGAGTCCCTTTTACTGCTTCCTTCTGCATTATGGTTCATGGTGCCATAAGCATACAACACACATACTGGAGCACACAAACTTCCTAAAATAGATGGGATGCATACATCTATGCATGCATTGCAACTAAACGCTTTACTGTTGACCCCACAAATTATGTGCTGTCATGCACCACGTCCTACCCCCGAGAGTATATAGCAGACTGCATGGTATAAACATTTCGAAATCCCAGATCTTAAGAGACTTTTCTACATCAGTGAGCTCTGCCTCATTACAGTCCAGAACAAAAAAAGATTAGCTTGCATGCTATTAAATCAATATATTCCCAACTGTTTAAATGGAGATGAACACAGAACATCGTAGCTCATCACTAACTACAAACATGATCATTTTACCAGCATCAGTGAGGTAGGAGCAATCAAATCAACAAGACGGGGAAAATGGCTCTTTATTTCTGAAGTGTATCTTTCATTATGTAAAGGAATCCAATTCCGCGCGGATATTCACCATAAATATAAGGAATGTCCCCTCATCCTCACAGATCAACAGCACAAATCATGTCAAACTAATACTTTTCAAATAAAACCAGGCAGCTCAAAGCAGTCTCATTCCACTGTCTGTCAATATTCTGGACCTCCATTAACTTGCACACTTATCTCAATGAGTAGTGAAGCAGTCTTGCTGAGGAAAACACAGTCATGTACCTGAGAACATCCTCGTCCGGGTGGTCTGTGGAGGGGTGCTGCCACTGGGAGGGGAACCCACAGTGAAGACCACCTGTGCTGGACTGCCTGAGCCCACAGCTATCACTCCACCACCAGGGGGCGCTGAAGGCACAAAAACAGTTATTCCCGCGAACCACCCAGCTCCACCCATAAACCTGCTTCTACATTTCCTACATTTAGATAAGACAGGTTAACACAGTGCTTCACTGGCTGGACTCCTGGAAAGTAAGGAGCTGCTTTCTAAAACAGACAATTCCGAAAAGAATAAGCCTTTTAACTACTTTTTACCCTTCTCATCTTCGCAAGCAGTACTTCCCAGATGTTTCAGCAACAAATAATCCAGCTTTCAACAGTATCTGGCAGTCATGGGCCAATTCATTGAAAGTATTTACAATGTTTACTTTTTCACTTAACAGTACTGCAGTAAATGATCTGAATTAAGTGCACAGTTTCTGCTATGCTGCAGTTTAAATGTAGTTTTTCAGTGTTTCTAAGTACTCCATGCTTTATCTATAACTTTTTATAGTTACAGACTTAACCCTAACGCAAAACAATTCCAAACACCTACAGTGTGCACAGAAACACAATGTTATAAAAGAATGTGCAAAATAATGTGATCTAAAATCTTCAATGCAATCATCTGGCGATTTTGAACTTCCAGTGACCCCTTCCCCCCCCTAGGGCACTGGAGAATCGCTGATCCGCCGTTTAGAAAAAGAAAGATGTGAAAGTGAAGAATGAGATGACGAATAGTTAAAGGTACCCGTTGTATCCATAGGTCTCTCTGCGTTTAAGCTCTCACTGCTTCCACCATCCAGCAGCTGGCCTCCAAAAGCTGCTTTCAGCAGAATGTCCGACAGCCTACCCGCACTCAGAGACCTGCCGGCGCAAGCAGAGGGGACAATGTCTACAGTCGCTCAATGGAGAGTGTAGCAAACAAGCCGACATGGCCCACCCATACTCTCGCACCACTCAATCTGCAGAAGGCGGGGGAAAGAGTCACTTCTCAGCCAGGCTTGCTGTGCACGTGCGTTATGATGTGATTTATTAACCACGCCACTCCGTAATTGCACTGTAATTTACAATCATCCTGCACGTCCACAGCTGGGCCTCTTACTCCTACACCCACAGCCACCTCTGGAGGTACAAGCATACGGCATATTCCAGTTATTTACTGCTCTTGTTACAAAAGCTACTCAGCTGTCAAAGCCTGTTGGCTTGGACATTTGTAATGTAAGTTCAGTATGTGGTGGATGGTGAGGTCAGGAGGTTTTCAATCCAATGTGACAGGGGCTGACAAGCGAGAAGTGGAAACACACAGAATGTGCTGTCAAAGGGGGATGACTGAGCAAATAACAAAGTATTGAGCAAACACTGCACCTGCATGAAGGCCTCCTCCAGTGGGCTGAAGGAACTCCGTCACAGTTGTATAACTATACAATCTACTGAAGAACAGTGTGGGTTTTTGTTTTTGTGCTGTTATTAAGGTTCATCTAAATTTACTAAACAATCGAAAGCAAACAGAGGCAGACCAGTTTGAATGATCGCTTGAATGGGTAACAGATTGAAGTAGGTCATTTCAATCTAAGTTAGGGCTCATAAACACTGTGTCTTAGAACAAAAACAAAAGGTTCTCTTCCTCAATGTCTAACAGTGTGGTCAATTTTTTTGTGTGCAAATGACAACCTTAGCATTACAAAACAGCAAGAGAACAAGTAAGGGAATCCAATTCTATGTCAGAAGTATTGTGTGAGCTTTCAAGATTTGAAGTCCATTCATTGTAATGAAACCCATCAGGAACAGTTGCCTTTTGTGTCTTTCTCCACATGTTAACATAAGAACATGAAAAAAGTTTTGCTCCTACCTGCCAAAGTCTCCTTTATTGTCCTCAATGCAGGGCCTGGCAGCCGCACTGGACTGCTGCCCGGGGCACAGCCCCAGGTCTTTCAGGTCTGGTACAGTTCTGTTGCGGCTCGGGGTCACGACCTGGGCCAGGAAGGTGACCAGGTTCTGCGAGCTGGGGGGTTTGGGAAACTCAAAGGGGGGTATGGCCTGGATAAGGAGACAAGCATGGCATTTAAAATGAGTGTTGAGTGAAATACTAGGGGAACAAACAGGAACAGACAAGTTTGGCTTGTGATGTACTCTATAGTCGAAAAGTGTATTGTAAAAGTAAAGCTGACCAGTGGTGGTTTATATGTAAAATGGTTTTGTTTTGTTCTCTAAAATAAAAAAATAATAAATGAAAAATAAAGTGAGCGTTGAATATCACAGCCGATTAGAAGAGATGTTGTCGTCTATGGGAAAACTCCACACTTATTGTTGAGTGCAACCTGCCCTGGTTTTCCATTAATTGATAGATCCCCATGCCTATGTCAAGACACAGTAACACAGCCTCCATTTTGATATGACTGACAGGAGGATCCAGCGTAGGGGCACGTGCGCGCCTCACCTTGGTCGGAGAGCCCAGGATGGTGGGCAGGGGGCTCCTCTGCATGAGCTCACTGAGCTTGGGGGAAGACCGCAGGGGGCGGGCCGGCTGAATGGGGGTCTGCTGGGGCACCACGGGGTCAGAGTGCTGTTTCTTTATCTTCTGCCGGCAGGTGTGGGCCCCTTCCAGCAGGCCGGGGGCGCTGTGGAGCCGGGAGCCCATGCCGTGGCTCGGCGCGGCCTCTGGCACAGGCAGCCCTGCAGGGACACATGCAAGAGGCGGCTCGCTCAACAGCGACAGGGGAGTCAGGCGGAGATATCCAGCCCCTGCGCGGTGAACTGCTTCAAACGCATTCACACTTAAAACGTGAAGAGAAAAAGGTCTGTGAAGCCCCAATATAATTCTGAAAGTTAGAATTTACCATGAGACCCGTGTTTGTTTGACACCAGTCTTTTCTTAAACGTGACCAACTTCAAGCAGTTCTGCAAGGAGGAATGAGCCAAAATTCAAAAAGCATCTGCGTATCTGTCTGATACACGGACAGAAGAGACCGCTGTTCTTAGGCTTTAACATACTTATTCATACAAGGGTATGTACAGTACATTTGGACTATTTTGTTAACTGAATAATCCAAATATTTCTGTCATCTTTGGTTTGTACTTTTAATCAGACTACCTTCATTATATATTCCTTTTAATAGGACTTTCATGAAGATCAAATCATGTTTTAGGTCTTAACCATATCCAGATATGGACCAACATAGGGGGGGTTTGCAATTTTTTCTCGACACTTGTACATAAAAACTAGGAAAGGAAAATTTATTGGGTTTATTGGTATTTGTAAAAAGAAAACCGGTCTCTCTGGAAGACAAAGAGGCTGGAAGGCGTGCTGGATGAAGGAGAGGGAAAAAAGCCACCATACCAGCTCATAAGTAACATAAACATAGTCAGGTTCACACTTGGATGAAGCACTGCACAAGCACAGACTTAACGTCACTGGAGCTCTGCCGTTCAGTGCTGAGTCAGACAAACGGGGCTGGAATCTGAACAGTAAGCCAAATGACTCAAAAGAGACTGAGCCAAGTGAAAACTCCATCAGCACACAGTGTCAAATCAGACAGATCATTAACAGCCTAAACAAAATGAGGCAGTGAAAATAAGCACAAGCCCACAGGATGACTACACTGCAGTATTAACTGCATATATAGGAAATAAATGACGACACTGAAAAAGGAATAGTTCTGTCACTGCTCTTGAAATACTTTTTATAAACCCACATAAATGCAAGAAATGGTGTAAATTCTTTCCTTTTTTAAGGCGGCATGTAAGGCTCTTACCACAGGATGCCCAAGTTTATATAACGTATATACTTGAATATCTGGGCCTATTAACGAGGTACTAGGGATAATTGAATCCCTGGCCATTCTGCAAGACTAGTTCACAACGAAGAGAATGACTAATTATGAGTATTTCAAAGGGACAAAAGACAAGATTAAATCATTGATATGCTCTTCATGCATAAAAATAATGCAAACCAAAGCCTGGGTAGTGAGGGGGATGTTTTCACAAGAGTGCAGTGAAATGAATGGGCTGCGAGACGGACAGTCTTCAGGGACGTCCAGTGCTTACCTCTGCCCCGCACGCCGCTGTCAGGATTTGTGCCCAGAAGACCAGTCTGACCCGGCAGCTCTGGGATGGTGCCCACTTTGGAAGAGAGGAGGAGAAAAGACAGATAAAATTGTGTGCGTCGCAGCTTCCAAGAGTCCTGACCTCCAAAAAAATGAAACTGAAAGATTTGATTGTAAAACATACCCAGAGATTCAACTTGTTAATCAATACTCTTCAGTGTAAGCTGGCCTCTCTCGTGACAAAGCCTGCCAATATGATTCTGATGAAGCAGGTTGCCACTCACCCGCTTTCTGCACCCTCCATGACAGTTAATCATCGTAATCCACTCCGGCACTCAGCACAGCACATTCTAAAGTCATGCTTTTTTTCATGCTCTGGTGAGCTTTCTATAGGCGCTAAATGCAATCAATATCGCCAGGAGAGTCTGGGGTTATTTCCTAATGCTGCTAATTGCCAATATCTCCCAAGATCAGTGCTTAATTAAGTTAAGAGAACTTGGCCATACTACACATGCGTTTCTTTGGAAATAATGAGGAAACTGCTCTTGACTTGCACCAGCTGTCTTTTTTACAGCACCTAAACGCAGCTGGCGGGTGTCGGCAGGCTCGCTCACCAGGGCCTGTTCGTGCGTCCACAGAACCGAGCCCCTACCTTGGGGAGAAGGTTGATAGGGTTTTGACCCCCCGAGGGAGAGCCGGCGGGAGCTGACGGCCGCTCCCGGGTCTCCTGGGAAGGGGGGTGACGCTCCAGTCCTCCCGTATCCCAGAGGGCTGCCGCTGCTGCACCTCCGCGCCGGCGGGCCTGGCCTGTGGAAGGAGACGGACCAGGAGAAATCTGCTAAGAAACCGTCACCAGGTCAGCTCTTCCCCCCGCACAACACAATAACAATAACCCTTCCACTTCTATAGCGCTTTTCTGGACACTCCACTCAAAGTGCTTTACAGGTAATGGGGATCCCCCCCACCACCACCAGTGTGCAGCCCCACCTGGAGGATGCGACGGCAGCCAAAGTGTGCCAGTCCTCTCCCCACACACCAGCTCAGTTGGGAGGAGAACAGAATGATGAAGCCAGCTCAGAGAGGGGGATTATTAGGAGGCCATGATTGGTAAAGACCAGAGGGGGAAATTTGGCCAGGACACTAGTTAGCACCCCGACTCTTTTCGAGAAACGCCCTGGAATTGTTAATGACCACAGAGTGTCAGGACCTTGGATTTATGTCTCATTCAATGGACAGTGCCATTTTTAAAGTATAGTGTCCCCATCACTATACTAGGGCGTTAGGACCAACATAGACAGCAGGGTGTGCGCCGACTGGTCCCACTAACACCTCTTCCAGGAGCCTTCCCAGGAGGCCTCCCATCCAGGTGCCAGTTCGCTTACCACACATCAGCCATCAGTGGGGAGGAACTTCATCCGTAACTTTCAAACATGATCATATCCCTGCGCGGTATCAGATGAAACCGAAACCTTACAGCGTAATGTCTGAAGAAGGAGAAAGTGCCGAGAGAGAAGTGGTGCCGACCTGAGGGAGCTGTTCTGGCCAGGCGACTGCAGGTTCTGTTCGATACGCTGGTAGTTGTGAATCTGGGTTGGAACGGGGATCGGCACAGACTGGTTGTAGCTGCTGGCTGAAAACTCAACAGGCCGGCTGCAGGAGAAGAGAACACATTAACGTCAATGGCCACGAGGGCGGAAGAAAACCACTACCCTCTCTTCATTTAGGTGAACTTTAGCCTTGTGCCTCACCTCTCTTGTTACAGAACTGCACTATTCCCCTGGGGGCCAGTCCTGGTATTATAAAGATTATGAAACAGCTGCGGGGATTGCCAAGTGGCCCGATCAAGTAAAAGTGCCATTTCTGACCGCAGGCCCAGAAGTTCAATACTGTGCGATATCTAGTCCAGTGTGCCTGAGATTCCCCAGGTGGAGGAATCGCACAGCTGATGGAGCACCACCAGGGGTAGGGATGGGACTATACAGATCTCAGTGAAACAGTGACCCATGCCACTTCCTGGACACTAGGAAGCTTGTGGTGTAGCCTGCAAAGAACACGCCGGTCTTCCAATCGGCAATGAGCCTCCCGCACACCGCTTTACAGCCTGAAGCGTGTCAAAGAGAAAAGGCTCGTTGGGCAGGTCAATGGAGCCTGTCTACACCTTCTCATTCTCTCTGCACGATTCAGTGTTATTCCACATCTGTTAGTTATTCTCATACCGATGTGTGTTTAAAATGCTATTAGTGGCTTTATGTTGTAGATTTGTTTTGTATCACCAAACCAAAATCCCTACAACTAGTTATGATGGCAATAAAGTATAGAATACTAGAATACTAAATTGTATATGAATACATGGGTGGTTGCTGTTTGCTAAGACAAAGAAAATTAATTTAAATCTGGCAGACATTTAATTAGAAATAGCTCGTTACTTTAAATTTATATAAAAAGTAAGGGATCACCCTACGTTCACATGGCTAATATACAGTACAGCTGTCATGTCTTAAGAAGAAATGACTTGATTGTTAGCTCTTTAAGGACCATGAAAAGCTAATTAACTGCAGATGACTATAGCAATTAGCTTATTTTTTAAACTGATTAAACTGATTTTAATGCTGCATAGCTCTTCTTTCACACTATTATGCTTCACATATGTGACAGCTTTAGAATGACTTAACAATACTAAATGGAAGGCCTTAAATTTGCAAATAAGGTATTTTTTTGGAGCAGATCTAAGAAAGTGCATAATTGTTTTAAAATGATAATAGAATGTAATCCTGCAGCAGAATGTAAGAAATAGTCTACACTACGTTTATTATGTATTTATTATGTATTGTGCCCATTATCAAGGTGAAACTTGAAAATACAAAGTGGTTTTAAGCAAAAACCAAGAGTGAGATTCAAGGGCTATTTAAAGCTTCAGTTTTATTAGGTAGAACTTCACCCTCCTGTGAAAGGCACTGCTGTCAAGTGGAGCAACAGGCTTGTCCCAGGCCTCTGCAGCCTGACCTGGAACGTGAGACTCCCTCCTACAGTGTTGCTAGCAGTTCCTTACCCGGAGGGACTGGGAGAGCTGGTGAAGGAAGGTGAAGGGGACGGTGTCTTGCCCTGACTCCCCAGACCAGCAGAGGTCAGCAGAGAGCTCCTAATCACAGTGGGCAAAAACAATACCATTCATCAGCAGAACAGGCTACTTGACTCTGCTTGACACTGTGCTCCGCCCTCACAGCTTAATGATGAAAAGGACCTCCGCTCAAATATTGCTAAATGCTCTCTTGCTCTTTTGGTCTCAAAATAATTCTATTTACACCTAATTGGAATGAACAATAAAGTTACAAGAGCATGAAAGAACACTTCAACTGCTTATTGCAGGACTGTATGTGTATTACTGAAGTACACTAACACAAATATATATGGGCTGGAAATGCTGTAAATGTTTTTAGGGTTTTATCCCAGGATAACTCACCCGCTGTACATCAGACTATCCTGAACCGGCCTCCCCACTGGGCCTTCACTGGTGATTTCGCCTGGAAAGAGGGAGGAACAGCAGAGAAGGAAAAAGGCTTTAAGAGAAAACCTTCTGCAATGCCATTTGGGAAAACACCACTAGTAAACTCAGCATAAACCCATTTCTGATTGCACACAATTTGTAAAAAAAATTGTAAAAGAGAAGTGTCATTTCAAAACATTCTTCAGTAAGAGGTACATTCTCTGGCTACAAAGAAATGAACTACAAAACCAACACAAAAGACAAAAGGCAAAAGCAAACACAGAGACAGACCCACATTTTGACATTCCTATATCGCTCACATCCTTTTGGACAGTTACACTGGATAAAGGAGAAAGATGAAACGACTGCTCAGCACTTTTTAAGAGGCCACGGACTTAAAACAAATAATGAACTATTCACTGCGGAACAGCAAGGTCCTGTCTCAGACTCAGAATGAGAACGTCATTCTGCAGACACTAAAAAGTGCTCCCTTCCAAAACTAATATAGATATTTTCTACAGCTCTCTAAATATAGACCAGGCTAGAGTGTTAGTGTCAGTTTCATCTGCTTCAAAATAGCAGGCTTTAGATTAGTGAACAGCTCCCTAATGCCTGATTACTTTTTGTCTGGTGTTTTTGGAATTCAGCAGTGCAGGGGCTAATTGGTACGTCTGAGGTGAAAGACAGCGAGCATTCCCCCCTGCCCCCACTCTGCGAGAAGCCTGTTCTATGCTGGATCAAGCTCCCCTTTGTGTGTAAGAAAAGGCAGCTGTCCTTACTGGGGAACTGCGCCGGCACCATGACAAAGTCATCAGTATCACAGGAGGAGTTTTTGCTGCTGCTTCCTGCAGAATCCTTCAGCAGGAAGCCTGGGGAATCCTGGGTAGGAGAAGCCAGGGTCTTGGTGCGTAGCTGCTGCATCTCTGCCACAGACTGCTGCAGGAGGACACGTCACAGCAATCATTCACTGGACTGCAGGTGCAGAAGCTTGTCTGCAAAGCGCTGGCCAGACTGGCATGCTGCGCCTTTTACTGGACTATAAATAAAACATTTGACCAGAAACTTCCTTGCTTGAAAGCTTGGTTGGTGCTAACTTACTCTTATCTATTCCTAAAGTGAAGAACTGGCCAGAAAAACAATGAACTTTACAAAAACAAATAGCAACACATTTTCTTTAAACAACCCACTTAAGGTCTGCCGCTTTCAGTTCACTGCTTTCAGAATAAACCAGAATTTGTTCCAAAAAGAATGTTATGTACCCAGTGGGTGTGTGTGAGTTGGGAGCTACACAGGCATGCTGTCAAAGCCGATACCTTGACATCTTTCAAGAGATGGCTGGATCAAAACGAGCTCGAGGGACTGAGTGGCCCCCTCTCATCGGTAACCTTTCTGATGTTCTCATCAAGCTGCAGCTGAAGGAGCTGGCAGCTCCCCGCTCACTGGACAAGCAGCATGGGCAAATGTGAAAGGCTTCTGCACCCATGCTCCACCCCCCCCGTCTCAAGTAACAGCAGTTAGAGGCTCGTGCCGCTGTCGTGACTCACGGGAGGAGAAGCAAGGTGGGACGTGGACGAGCTGCTGCAGGAGCTGGCGGATCCTGAGCTGGGGTAGGAGGGCATCGGCACAGGAGCAGCTGAAAACAACGCAAACACACGGGCTGAGTGACTGGGGAAAGGGCTTGTGCAGTTTCAATGACATCCACTGACACCTTACCATCATAATATTAATGTTAATAAACTATGCTTTATTTAGTGCCTTTACAGGTGGCTTCTCAACGTGCTCTACAATAAGAAAAAAAACACAATGAAAGGAGACAGCAGAGTTACATAATTCCAGCAAGGGTTTAGGATATAGTAGAAAAGCAGAGGTGCAGTCATAGAACCAACTAAAGAAGAAGGTTTTGAGTCCTGATTTTAAAGTGTGTAGGGAAGATGACTCTCTGATATCCATGGGGATAGAATTCCAGAGCTTTGGAGAAGGTCCTGTCAGCCATAGAGTATAGACAGGCTTGGGGGACAGAGAAGAGACCAGAGTCAGAGGAATGAAGGTTGCAAGGTGGGGAGTAGGAAGATAATAAGTCAGAAAGGCCACAGACTGTAACAGGTGAGCATGGAGATCTTAAAGTTGACATGAATCCTGATAGTAAGACAGTGCCAAGACTCCAGGATAGCCCCTGGATAGGCTTTATAAAGGTCTGTCAAGCCATAACACTGCCTAACAGCTAGCCTGTTTAGAGTTATTCAATACCCCTGAGAAAGTAAGTAAAATATTATTTTTTTAGTGGGAATTTAATTTTCTTCTGTCCATTTCAGGCTTTAAAAGTCCCATTGACTTCTAACATATATATTGGAGAATGCATTTGAAGCAAAGAAGAAAGTAAAACTTGCAGGATATACTCAGGAGACTAAGTACTACCTGTGAGTTTTTCAATGTTTCATTTTTTTTTCTTTTAAAGCAAGGTGGCACGATTGTTCTCAATCGATTCAAACTATCCGAGGATGAAATCAAAGTGGTCATAAAAAGAAGGACATGTGATAAACGACTTAGCAACTGTGAAAGGCAGAGATTAGTTTTAATCAGCATATTTATTTAGAACCTTGCTATTCGTTGATTGTGCCACATGCAAGCCATCATAAATCTGCTATTTCAACGCATTCCAGTAATTTTCCCCACTTTAAACGTTAAAGAGGCAAATGACTAGATTTTCTTGGAATTCACCTTTAGATCTAGTGTCAATGCAGGCTGTGCTGTATGTTAACCAGAAGCATGTTTTTGAATAAACAGGCCAAACCAGTACTTTTTCTATGCTATGATTCACTTACATTTCTTCATGGATGAGCTCCCTTCCAAGAAGGGATGTTGGAAAAATTCATCTGTAAGGAAACACACCCGGTTAGAGAGCTGGTGAAGACTGGCAACAAACTGAACCAATGGTAAAATGGAATATACTATGATCTTGAAATACATCAGCATGTACACCGGTACATGAACTGACTTCTCGAACAAACTGGCCCTGGTGTAAACGTGTGCACGTCTGTGTCTCTGTGGGCCCACAGTTTGTGGTGAACACAGCAATGCACAAAGGAGTGATCAGATCTCCCTGCATTCGTGGGTATCCTATAGGTGTTCCAGTTTCCTTCCAAAATACTGGTACATGAATTGGCTTCTAGGAAAAACTGGACCTGGTGTGAGTGTGTACATGTCTGTGTGTGCCCCGTGATGGACTGGTGTCCCATCCAGGGTGTATCCTGCCTTGTGCCCATGGCTTGCTGGGATAGGCTCCAGCCTACCCGGTGACCCAGTACTGGGTAGTTAAAAAGATAACGGAGTTCAGTCTCCTGAAAGCAGGAATATGCGACTCCTCCAGGCCCTGGAAGCCAGAGGAGGGCGGGCAGCCGCAGCAGCAGGGAGAGGCCGCTCACCGAAGCTCATGCGGTCCCGCGGACTGCGCTGCAGCAGGCCCAGCAGCAGCTGACGAAGGTGGGCGGATGTCTCCCTCGGAATGCTGGGAAAAACAAAGCAATAGAAATTCTCAATTTCCCCTTCCCCCCACTCCTCAAAAGAAAAACAAACAGGTACTAAAGCTTTTGCAGTTTTTCTTACAACATTTTGAAATGGTCAAATGAAAGTGGCTGATTGAGCAGGGTTTTAAAATCGGTATATACCAGCCAGGTATAAACAGGTGTATAACATGTATGAAGTACTTTTAAAGGAATGTGTGAAATTTAAAGGAAACATCCTAAAAGAATAACTTATGCTATTACATACCAAAGACCCATTATAAGCAACCTGTCTGGTAGTTAGTTATTCCTGAAAGATGCCAGAGTATCAGCTTCAATAGCACTGTAGGGTAGCTTGCGCCACACTCCCACAACCCCTTGCTGAAGGAAGAAGTGCCTAAATATTCTAAATGAGATCTTACCTCATTCAAAACTCAATTCAAACTCCTGTTATTTTTGTGGTGTCTGCAGATGTGAGTAGTTTAACAACTACACCAAAATCTAGATCATCAAGACAAACTAAGAACAGCCACAGGCCCAGCACAATGCCTTTGGTACGCCAACAGTCTGAGCATTCACCTCTTATCAGCACTTTGGTTTTCTAAGAACTAATTCTCAACTCAATAATTACAGAATTAATCTTTTCAGAAACTTTATAAAAAAACTTCTAATAATCAAAAGTCACCATGTATGCTTGTTCAACTAGGTCTAACAAATTAGTACTAACATTTTCTAAATCCACATTGACTAATCACTTGGATCTTACTTCCCTATACAGTAGGTGATTCTCTAATTTAGTTCTAACACTTGTTTCTATAATCTTACACATAATAGAATACAGACAAACTAGTCTGCAGTTACTTGATTCGGTTTTGTATCCAGGCCATGGGTACTATTCCTGTTTTGAGCAGCTGTTGGAAGTTACATCAGTTGCTTATGGATAAAGGTTTCTCTAAGTAAATTGGTAGAAAACACTGGTCCTGGAGATTCATTAAACTGGAGTGATTCGAGTACCTGAACCAGCTCCACTTCTTCCATGTAAATACTATTTAATAAAGAACACTGTTCTTCCACTGCCTGAGGCATGCTTTTAACATCCTCCTTAGTGAATACCTGTGTGAAATATTCATTAAGTATATCACTCATTTCCCCTTCTTTATTTAGACTTTCCCATTATTGTACGGGGTATATTTAAAGAATGCATGATTATTTATTTTATGGTCCATTGTAATATTCAGTTCCATAATAATCTTGGCCTTCTGAATATCCTTTAGACCTGTCTTGCAAATATTTACTTTTCTTTTAACTGGATCCTGTGTTTTAAATCATTTTATAAACTGATTTCTCTTATATATGTCCTAATAGATTTGTCTAACCATTTGGGAAACTGTTAATCTTTTCATTTAGTCAATCTTGAGAAATTAAATTGCAATGGGTATATATGTAATTAAACATATAATTATACATACATGAGAACCATCACGAAGCACCATACAGCACAGAGCAAATTCCACTAGGTCTTCAACCTTGATGAGCTACATTTTTCAACAGCAATATTCAAATGTCTGATAAACTCCTTAACAATCCAATCAAAGCAATAAAACTTACAGCTCAAGTGCGAAATCTGATCAGAGGGAGTTAAACCAGGCATTAATAAAGCCTTAAGCACCTTGTGTCAAGTGGATCTAATTAAAATGGACACAGTCTGGCAATCAGTCAACTTCTTCTAGCGAGCAGTAACTTCAGCTCCATCTTCACAGCCTTCCAAAATTACTAAAGCGTGCTTCATTACAGACATCTAAGAGCAGAACTTTCTAAGCAAAAAAAATTAATACAGCTGCTTCTTTAATCACTATTAACAAGCATGTTGGCTGAGAGTGTTACTTTGTAGAACATGAGTTTCTTTTGCAGGGAAGTCAGTTTATTAAGAAGCACATGGTTCAATATGTGGCCATAGAGTCCATGGAGTATAAAAAAACTAAGCGACAGCAATAGATAGATAACGGTTAACATACTTACACACCAGAGGGCTAGTTTCAACAGTGACCAGACGTTTGAATACTTTACTATTGGTGGAATGTGTGTCACACTTATTTTTTATCTTTTAAGCAAAAGACAGTGAAATCAGACTATTCATCCTATGTAATGCCATCATTAATTCACTGCAGACAGAAACCCCCCCAAAAACATAAGAGTTACATAAACAACTACTGTACAATGCTTTATTTCACAAATGCACTGCAGCCACAAACCACAGTGACCAGTGTTGGAAGTAGACCTGAGACCGTCAAGCATTTTAAATTAGGATGGGAAGAAAGTTAAACGATACTACCAGATGACTCATGACACAGGACGTCCCACATGCCTATGCTGTCCGGAGTACATTACAATAATGCCCATTACAAAAGTCATGGAGTATATGAAACAGGCAGAGAAAAGGCCATCCAATTCTATGAAGCAGAACACAGGGCACATTCATTGGTTGTCCACAGAGACTGTAAATAGTGCAGCACCCCGAGTGGGGATACTTACTTAGGAACAAGGCTTTTGTTTTTTTCATAGAACAGACGGAGGTCCTGGGGGCTGCTGGCCTGTTGGAACAAGACGAGGCATGAAGTACGTAGAACTTGAACCTCCTCTGGTCTCTAGCTGCTCAATGCAGCCGATACAATAATACACGACACCCAGATACTTTTCTAAATAACGCAAAAATAAATGCCACAAATCAAGATTGACTGGTTTACTATTAGGCTTCAAAGAACCCTATGTGGCTATAGAATATGTATGGGGAAATTAACAGTTTAATTTATAGATTCTTTTCATCTAGAAGTATAGTCTTTAGAGAATCTGTCATTCCTAGTTTAACACTGTATATCTGAGATCAGCTAAAGAATATGGAAAATTCATATGACTGTGCTTTATAGATCTTTAAATTTTCTCTTATACAGATCAGCATTCAAGTTCCCAGATCAAAGTCTTCTTTATAAAAACAAAATGCAGTAAAACGTAAGGACACTGCCTTTCGCATGATCTTGAAAGGCCCAGTATATTTTTGCAAGGTCTCATGATGAAACCAAAGCCAATTTTTCACATCAGCTGTCTGTTCCGGTAAACACAGTTGGTTCAGGTCTTTTTTTTCCCATTGCAGGACTGCAATGGTCCCAGCACTGCTCCCTTCCCTCTGCAGCACTGCCTGTGCTGAGCAGTCACTCAGAGACATACGGGGGGGTTGGCTGATGGCACATGTTGTCTCCACAGTATAAATAACCTATTAAGTAATATCTCAAAGGGCTGTTTCGCCGAACGCTTGCGTGTGCAGACATATCCCATCACTGGAGTTCAGGTACGCAGGAACACGCTGGCTCAAGACCACAGACCAATCAATAGTCCCTGGATAGGGTCTCCAGCCAGCCAGCCAAGTGCTCATCTGTGTGACAAACAAGTCTGGGAAGGGGGTGTGAAGGAGGAGGGTAATCCTGTTTAAAAATAGGAATAGGTTCTAGAAGAGAGTGGACTTCACACTACCCTGTCTAATCTGTGGCTTTACTAACAAGAATATGTTCCAGCTGTCATGACAGATGTTTTGTGCTTTATTTAATAAGGTGAGCTGGCTTTGCTTTAATAAGTTAAACAGGACCGGTCCTGGGGATATAAGCCCACAGGATGAGGTATACACAGCTATATAAGCCTTTAAAAAGTGCAGTTAGCAGATTGCACCCTCATTGGAAAGAGCATCTGCTACACTACACCAGGACAGGACCCCACTTCTCACTCTGCATTTTCCTCCTCGGTCTCCTGTCGGGTATCCAACAGTGCCCACTCTCTGGGGGGTAGAACCCCTGGCATAGTCACACGGCTACAGACCGTGGACACTCTTTGAATATGCATTTCTGCTCTGTCAAGAATCAATATTATCCTCAAGAGTCTTTTAACTCTAAAGACGTGAATGATACACTAGTAACGATGTAAAACGGAAAATATATGATTAAAATCAGTGTTAACAATTAGGCTAAGCATCACTTTTTCCACAAACAGCATTAACAAACAATGCAACTACTTCACTAAAATACAAGTGAGAAATTCCCACTGAGTTCACTAGGCAGAGCCCATGGAAAAAAATGCTTTGGAACCTACTAAGCAATGTTGTTTACTTCAGCTGAACAGACACCAGTCTACGCTCGTTTCCTTCTCAGTCTTATTCTAGAAGACTATATTCTAGAAAACATCTACTGAATCTGTTCTAACATTCACTGCGGCTGATTTGGTCACCTTAATAAATGCAATAATAAAAACAGACTGAGAATGATAATGAAGGCAGCCAGCACAATTACTGGTACACAGCAGCTGTCAGACATCTATGTCAAGCAAGCAGTGCAGAAGGCCAGTATAATCGCTGACTGTCACGACCACCCCTTGCACAGTGAATCTGACCTCCTTTCATCTGGGCGGTGATTTAGACTGTCCAGATTCCAGTGCACGAGAACTAAGTCACCCTTTATTTTTATAGCTATTAACCCGCTTAATTAGGATACATCTAATAATATGTGGCTCTGTGGCTAAGGATCTGTGCCTGTGGCTGGAAGGTTGCCAGTTCAAATCCTATGGCCAGCAGAGGAATCCTACTCCATTGGGCCCCTGAGCAAAGCCCTTTACCCCAGTTGCTCCAAGGGCGCCGTATAAATGGCTGACCCTGCGCTCTGACCCCCAGCTTTTCTCCTTGTCTGTGTGTCTACATGCATCTACATGCATCAGAATTTCTCCTATTCTATATTTACGGAGTATTCTTTTTGAACTACTGGGCTTGTGCTTCACCCATGGTTTCATATAACAAGCCTAGAGTTTTTTCAAATTCCACTTTGTCTACCTTTTCTGTCATTGTGAAAACTACAAAATGAATATTGTATAGCTTCCAAATCTTTCAAAATCCTTAGGCATATGGTTTCTAATAGTACGTTTTAAGACATATTCAAGGACAGCTAAAAAATATTTTTTTGGGGGGAAAGCATCACTACAAAATGTAAGCAAAAAATGTAAGTCACTGTGTTTATAGAGAAATTGGGATTTGATACGGTAAGCCCAAACCAAAGGAAGAGCTTTTCCATTAAGTGTTATCTGCAAACACCTTATTATATCAACTGCTCTACCTGTAGCATGAACTAAAGTGAAAAGAAAAAAACTAAGGCACATTGCAAAGTCAAAAACATTATAAATTATATATCATTATCCAAGCCCTATGAATAATATTCTTTGCAGTTAAATTTAAAATGTCACACAGAATTAAGCAGAGACCATGAAATGTCGGAAATCGGTGAAAAATCTGAGAAATTCTTATCAGAATTTAAATTGGTATTTGCTTCACACTATCTTCATACTTGAGAGAAGGTAGTGCACAAAAAAATATCAATTGAACATCAACAAAAATCAAAAGGCTAAAGTACAACCAATCACTAAAAACCAAAGAAAAAGTAAAAAAAGTGAAATACGAACAGCAGTCACTGATTAGAGAGCATAAAAGTCAAAATCAGAAAGTACTGATTTACCAGCTGCATGGCCTGAAAAGATTTAAAAAAGTTTGTCATGGCTGCAATTTAACAGCTTCAGGCAATTTCAACCAAACTGCAATTGGAAAAATCACATTTGCAAATCACCCAAGGAAACAGCACAATTAAGTCAGGTTTTGTGTGTTTAGGGAGAAAAAAAACGATGAGCTAGTCCCTCTGCCCTCATTGCAATGCTCCTAAACCATGGGTCGCCACCCCAACACGACAGGTGGAAAAAGTCCTGAAAGACAGCGGAAGATCTGGTCGGGCCGGTGCTCACCTGAAATGGGGCCTTCCCAGTCAGACACTGATACACAATGGTTCCTATGCTCCACAGGTCTGCCTTGGCATCATACGTCTGGGACATGATCACCTCAGGAGCCTAAGGCCAAACAAAAGGCATCGGACAAAGTCACATCTATCCGGTAATCAGAAATGTTTAAACCTTATCGTAGGACATTAACACAACTACAATACATTTGCCATGCAAAAGAGGAGCCTGTGGGTGGGACGATAAATGTGCATTTGATTAGATGATCTTTATCTCCAGGTACTGTAGCTAGTGAAGGGGAATTCATAAAGTGCCGGGGCCGTTCATCCAATAAAAAGAAACACAAGCTGGGTTTAAGTCTGTCACGAAGTGGCTTAGTTTTATAATACTGCTCAGTATGACCAGAGCTGCCATTTCAGACATATAATGTGACAGAATATGACTGAAAATATGACTGAATGCCTGCAAGTCAGAACACTTGCTGTTGGCTCATTCCAGTCAAGGGGGAGCATACCGAGCTACGATCAGGATAGCAAACGGATTATGTTTGAAGTCTGCTTGAAAGACAGCAGAGTTGCAGACAGGGTGTTAACTTTTTTTTCTCCAAAAAGCAAACTCCTAAGCCTAGCCCATAAACATTAACACTTGAAATATAATATCTTGATTTTAACACAGCTGTTAATTTTACTGAAGCCAGACTCAAGTGTCAATGATTTAATTTCTTGGAATAGCTGTATGTGTAGGGCTCCTTCCCTTCCCCCTACGATAAAATAATACACCTCAGATTGATCAACAAATATGGAAGGCTGAAGAAAAAACAATACACTTTTCACGGAGAATCCCTAAACAAAGACGTGAATTATTTAATGCAGCCATTCAGCTTTGTCTGTGGTGGCAATCTCAGCATCATGATATACAGTAGGTTTTCCCTGTGGTGCTTTTTATCGGAGGATTTCTGTGATCCTGAGCCGGTAATAAAAAGTCAAGTTTACTTCTCAATCGAAAAAGGTACTGTAAATAACTGCAGACCGGTGACTGGTGGGGCACTCACCATATACATGGGGGAACCACACAGTGTAGCTGCCATCGTATTGTTTTGCAGATACCTGGCAAAACCAAAGTCAGCTGGAAAGAAAAGGGAACAAGTGAAAATCATTTTTAACTGTCCAACTACTGCCAAGTCTGTCACACAACTTCCATTCACTACTTACAGGACAGCTAGAACTGTCTATTCCCGTGATATATAATCCACTTATTTCACTCTCACCCTCTTGCAATAATGCTGGTTTTAAGTGATCAGCTGGGGAGTAATTTTCTTCACAGCTCAGCTGCCTAAAAGGAAAGCCTGACTGGTGTGTTTTAAACACCACTTGGGGAAGTTACTTTCCCCACATCGACATTGTGACAGGTCTTTGTATCTTTTCAAGCACCGTGTGACAAGTACAGACTGGGAACCTTGTGAAGCTGTTGCTCGAAGAGCCTTGGAAGTAGAATTCAAGAAACCAGATATAGTTTTGACAGCTTCCAAGAAAGTTCTCTTGTCATGAAACAGCACAGTATGTGGCTTTAAGGTCAAAAAGGAGTGAATACTGATAGCAAAAAAGGAATTGCCCTAAATGACAACCACAAAAACAAAAGCAACATCTGACTCATTTGTACTTCTAAACAAACTGCCTTCGACCTAAGAATTGAAATGATTTGTTAAGGTGTCTAGGAAAATCATGCATTTACTTACGGCCAAGGACACTAACTGATCCCGTGAAAAAACAGTGCTGGCATATGCCCGCAACAGCGCTTTATTTAACTGCTGCCTGTCAGTGCAGGACACGTCTGGCTGCTCTTCTCTTAACTGATTGTACAACAGCAGTTTGGTTCTTGTACCATGGTGATCACGACTGTATGATATTCTGTGTTTCGAGTGTTTTGTGGTTAACAGCTGTTAGTGGCCAGAGAAGGCAGCTGGGAAAAAAAGGGTTATCAGTGTTGTTATATGAATGCTGGACAGCCCATTGTCTAACTGAGGGCCACAGTTCAGTTTGGATGACCTGGGATTGGTGAATGGAGATATTTTCTACGGGGGTTCAGTTTAAATATTTTAAAGAAAACCTTTTTTCACAATCATAGTTTAAATTAAAACTGCTTTGGAGTCTACAGATAGCTTCTTTAGGTAGTGTCCACTCTTCAAAAGAATCAGCATATTTTTGAGCCACGAACGTCATGAGGTGTCCTTTCCCAAGCCTCAGTTTTAATTCTCAAAAGTTTCAAATTAATAATAATAATAATAATAATAATAATAATAATAATAATAATAATAATAATAATAAAATTATTACCCATTGCATTTGCTAAATGAGCTTCGGTTTCAATGAACTGTGTGCACTTTAGTTAACTTTAACCTGCAAGTTTAAATTTAAGTTGTTTTATCCACATTCACTCTCTGATGATCTTCACTTTATATATCTCAATGTACTTTGTATTTCAGATAATTCTGAGCTTCACCTGCACAAAATTGAGAACTGTACTACAGTAATTATAAAAAACACAGAACCAATTTATGCCTCGGTTTCAAACAACATGTCTGCAACTGCAGTTTTCTCCCCTCTTACTGGACCTCGTCCTAAAACAGTAACGCACTCCACAGTTTTATATTTATAGAACACTATTGAGTCACGTTTTAATTTCTTTGTGCATGGCATCTTTGAAATCCAAGAGGATTACTGTGTCAGTGTGCCCTTGTTTTTAAATATGATGAGTCTGCTGCTGAAAAACAAGTACAAGGCGTACAGAAACAAAACCAATTATTCATGCAGCCACTGCAAAAAAAATAGATTTGTAAGCCACTTACAGTCTTTTTATTCATTCTTTTCTTAAAGTAGTAGTATTGAGTAACTTATTCTAAAAGAATAAAAGCCTTAGGCTCAGTGTGCTTGTTGAATTACTACTACAGAGTCCGCCAACAGGGAAAATAGGGAATATTTTTAACTGATTTATTTTGATATGCATCTGAACTGTGTTCAGTATCGTGTTACAACAAAGTGATGCAGACTTGCTTGAGCTTTGATTTTAAGCTTTGAAAATGTGTTGATAAAACTGCACACCTGAGCGTAAAAATGTATTTGTGCAAAAACAATTTGTAACCAAAAGAGAGAAAATGAATGGAAATCACTTATGATTTCAAATACTTTTTTTTTTACAAGGAAGCTGTTAAAACCTTTAAAGAGAATATGAGATTTAATCCTTAAAATGACAGATTCTCATTTCTGGTCCCCAAAAAGCTCCAGCCTTGCTGGGATTACTATGCCATTCTAGACAATGAAGTCGAGAGTGTCTTCGGATCAGGTAGACTCTGCAGCCCTCCAGGAAAGCACGCTCATTCACAGGCCTCAAGCACGCTCTGAGACTGTGAGCACACACGGAAAGCACACCTATCTTGATGCGGGTGTTGTTGGGGTTGGACTTCCGCCCCCCCGTGTGCGAGAGCAGGATGTTCTGGGGCTTCAGATCTCGGTGGATGATTCCTTTGGCCTTCAGGACCTTCATGGCGCCCGCGATCTGCTGCAGGAACAGGCGGATTGTGTCCTCGCTAAGGGTCCCCTTGGCTGTTAGCAGGAATGAAAGAACAACACAAAAAACTGTCAGCTCCTTAGGCTACGAATGAAGAATCATTCAGTCAGGACGGCGTGACTGATCTGCTGAATGGCATCCGATGAATTAGCCTCTCATTTCTTCCCCGTTTCCTAGGTATTAGCACTTTTATAACTGCAGTATTCATTATTCATTATTATTAGTTTACCACCTATTACACACATACACCTGTGTACCCCATATCGGCCTTTTAACAGAAGATCATGCATAACAAGACAAAACTACAGCTGTTTTAGATTTGCACTAATATTATGTGCTTTGCACTCCACTACTTTATGCAAAAGACGAGTGGCCCCGTACCGCCGAGGGAGGGGTTGAGTTTAATTGGCCAGGGCTCTCTCGGCACAGGGCCGTGAGCGCAAGTCCTGCAACTCCCCAGACACATGCAGACTTGCAGCAAAACCAGTGAGTGACTGACCCGCGTTTCGGTCAGTGCCCCTCCGCCAGAAAATCCCTGGCTTGAGGGATGGGCAGGCCAGAAGAGCCCGCCCGCACTTCCGGATTCTCCACATGCGGGCACAAGGGTCACTGCTGTGAGGCAAGATGCCAACACGCAGCTGGCAATCGCAGACTTGGTGGGAGCATAACTAGTGACAACAAGTCTAGATTCATTGAAAGATAGGCCTTTCAGTTCAGTATAAATAAAATCAGAGCAGTCTGTTCAAGGCCTCTGCATTTTGTTTGAACAATAGTAATTGCTTTGTGTACCCTAAACAGAGAGCAAACAGAGCACTGAACTATTTTTAAAAAGTCCTCAAATATTTGGGGACTGAAAACACAACAAACAGGCACGAGTGGCCAGCAGCCCCTTGCATTTGTAAATATTACGCTCAGTGAAAGCATAACTTCTCAATTCCACAAACACGGTGGATCTAAGGTCAACTACACAAAAGAAGTCCATGTTACACACCCCCTAAAGTTTTCTAAATAAAATGGTGTACACAAACTTTTTCATGGAATAATAAAGGTTGTGTCACCTGGACTGTCTCCCTGACATTTCTTGGAAGAAACTCCAGCGTGAAGCTATGCATCTCACCCTGGCTGTCTCTAGAACAGATCTCCCTTTCCTCTCTTTCGTAAGATAGAAATGTTATCCCTGTTGTTTATTTGCAGCACTTGGAGTGCCCTGATTACTTCCAGGGAAACACTGACCGGAGTTTAATATAGAACATGCGTGCTTTAACCAGATGGAACAGTGCCCAACTGAAGCAGGATGGGAAACTGTAGGACAGAGCAGCTCAGATCCAGTCCTCCATGGCCAGGTGGCCTTCTCTTGAAAATGAAACCGAGGAACACTGTTGCAAGTTATTAAAAATAAGACTGCAGAGAAAAGCACAGATTAACATGCAAGATTCTGCGTGCAAACTGGATGCATTAGGCTCAAAATCCATTTTTAATCCCCGTTATTGTGTGATGCGCCTAGATAGCAAGCAGTAACCAGCTTCACCATCATGCGATCCTTCTTCAAATTGTGAATGAGATAATTGAACTGTTCTTTGTTGTTAAACCAGGCCCAATGCAGCAATAGTGACCACTCATACACACTGGCAGCCGGGACTTTTTAAATCATATATTGTATCCATTGTATGCCTTAATACAGGGGTGGGAGCAACTTCAATTGAAGCCCAGATTCCTATAGCTTATACATTTGTTTTTTTTCCAATTAGCCATTCATTAAGCTGATTTAACTTATCAATTTTTAACTGGAGGACCTGGCACCCATCAAAGACTGCAGTTATCCATTTCTGGACAAGGAGAGATTTAAAGGAATATATGTTCAAACACTTGTAAGTGCTTTATATGTTCAACCAAGACTTGTAAGTGCTTACTTGCTATTAAAAACTGAAACCAAGAAGTATGTTTTATTGACTGACTGGCATTTTATTGTTTGTGGTTTTTCTTTTATGGCTTCATATCATACAGTTAATAACTTTCGAGATGCTTTCCCCAAAAAATCCCACAAGTTTTAAAACTGACAACCATTTTGAATGAATGCTTTAATATCCCATATTTACAGTGGACAAATAGCAAACTATAAAACAAAAGACATTAACATAACAGCGATACGCTATGTCCTCGCCCTAATGCATATATTTCCTGTGTCAAACAAACCTTTTGCAGGTGCTCTATATTTAGTATACAGATTCATAAAGCCAAATAGTATTGCAAATGTTTACAAAATCAAAATAACCTGCTCCACCCTTTCCTTCCATTTTTGTCGGGAGCAGTATATCCATGACGCTCCAAGCTTCCCGAGCTTCAACCCAAAATTAACCTCAACTCCACCAGGTTTTTTTCATTTGTCAAAAAAAATCCTAGGTCTCCAAGAACTCACAGGGCAGGACACCACCTCATATATGAGAAACCTGCACTTTACAGTTCTGCGAAGAACTTCTTTAAAAACACTTCGTATGCTTTTACACATTCAGACATTTTTATTGAACATGCCAGTTATTAGTAACCTAAGATTACTGAATGCAGGAAGGATCAAAGTGTGGCAAAGTAGTTCTTTGAGGACAGATGTTAAATGTAAGCTGACAAGCCCAATACCATAAGGTCGCTGAGAATGCATAAGGGGATGTGTTTTTTAAAGTTCCAATTAAAACCACAAAGACACTTCATTCTCCCACTCACACGCAACGAACATGTGCTCCCTAGCGACCTGAGGATATGTTTCAAGGCATTCAATTCAGAAAAGGGAAAAGTGTATTTTAATGAAATAAATTCCTCGGGCACAATAAATCATTTTAAGAAAGCAGTTTTTGATTCTGCTTTGCCAGCAACACAAGGGCGGCAGCCTCTATTCAGAGGAAATGTGTGCGTCTTTGACCAGGAAGGAAAAACAAGAGGCTTGGCTTCAGGCTCAGCAGCTTCGCTCTCTTCCTGGCGGAGGCAGGTGTCCGGCTCCTCCGTTGTCAACCACAGACACAAAGGGCAGCGCCAGGAAAGGCAGCTATCATTACAGAACTGAGTCACAGAACAGCCTCCAAGAGATACACAGAATCCAACAAAAGCAAACTTGGGAACAGGGGATCCGAAGTTCACATAGTGCTTTCCAGGGAGAAGACAGACTTCAGTTATAGATTCAGGATCAGTTGATCAGTGGACCAAGTGAAGCCTCTGTAAAGCTAAACAAATGTTGATCCCACAGTGAATCTTGCAGCATACTCTGAAGGTGTTAGCCTCACAAACATCCCAGTTACATAAATGTTCATTCAACAACTGTGCTGGAAAAAGCTTTGAGGTTATATCATGTATTGTGCGGTGTCTGTGCTTACGCTGCATAGGTTAGTCTGTGGTGATACATTGTTTTTGTGGTCTTTTTATGTCATGTTTACCCCACTTTCTTAGAAAAAACAAATCCCTCCTAACGTTTTTCACATGAAAAAAGGGAAGTTAAATAAACAAACATAAACTAGTTTTCCATGCTATTGGGTTTATACCACACACAAAACAACATACAATTTAAAAATCAAAAGGCTCATAGCCACAGTGGCCAAACAATGTTTTCCCAGCTCCAGACACTTTGACATCTACATATAACAGCAAGATTTTCCCTCTGTGGTCCCAAGCAGCGTACTAATGAAACAAAGGAATCAAAGTCCTTTTCTGCTCCAAGGGTAGCCTCAAACCTCTCAGAGACTTAGCAACAATGGCCACTTCTCCTCTGCAAAGCCTTAGCAAATTTAAATGCTCTTGGACGGTAATGTTTGGACCTCTCTCAATGCTAACTTGGCTCTTGTTAAGTGATTTTCTTGCTGGTTATGACTGGCAAGAATCTAGATGATGCAATGCCAAGAAACCTTATTCAGCTTGCATGACTAATGTGTCAAAACCTTACTCATTCTTTTCCTGCTGCCCTGGCTGGTCTTACCTAAGCTCTTTATCCATTTATTACAATGTCCATTATCATTTCAAGAAAAGGACACAAAAGACAGTGCACACCATCCCAGACAGAAAAACAGAACAAAAAAAATGAATTCTTGTGATGCTTGTGATCACTTTTGAATTACTCAAATTAAACAGGCTTTTAATTAAACCAGAGGTGTCAAAGTACACAACCGTCCTGGTTCTGCCAGCTCTAAGATTTGGAAAAAATAATGTGACCACTTATGTAACTAATTATTTTGGTCAAATAGTGACTCTATGGGACTAGATTTTGACATTTTACAAATAATCTAACCAACAAATGACTTCATATGGTGACCCTTAAGGTAAAAGGGAGTTTTTTTGGAATGTAATTTCCAGGTGAATAAAAGGAAACTAGGACATCTCAAAAACGTTCACACTATTAAGAATCCTTTGTAATCACATTGTTACTGTTCTTGTCAAGTTCAAAACAAACCCTTCCTGATAATATGGATTTTTCACAAAAAAGATGCATTTTCAAGGACATTACACTTCAGATTGAAGAAAGGAAGTGGAGGGGATGATTTGAAAGTAAATAGTTAAAACAAGAACCTCTCCACTGCAGAGCACTCAGGGTTTTGAGATGTTTGAAGTGAAACATGAAAACTGTAAACTTACAGTGGAGGTAATCAGCAAGGTCTCCCCCATTGCAGTACTAGAAAAACCAAGATAAAACAGAAGAAGGTTAAATCCCTATGTAGCAGACAGCTCAGCTGAATAATTCATCAAACATGGAGGGGGAACATGTCAGAGAAAAATACCTGAAACGCGTAACACACAAACATCAAACTTCACAGTTTCAGATTGTTTTCCTGTGCTTCTTCTCTTGTTTAATTCCATAACAACACATCTTAGAAAGGCAATTATTAATGATTTATATCACAAGGCGAGCACCTTGTTTCTCAGTTTTCTTCTGCTACTTTATTTCAGGGAAGGTTTATCTTTAGTCTTTTATAACTAAAACTGCCTTATAACATGGAAAAAGTATTAAATTGATACCACTAGACAAATAAGCATTTTTTAAAAATAAAAGTAAATCATATCCAAACATCTCTCTGCAAAACATGCTGCTTTTGAAGAACACTGCTACATGCATCACGGTTTTGTTAAATCCTACTTGTTGTACATTTTCTGTTTTTACTGCATATAATCAAGGATGGGAAACATGAGATCTAGTCAAACAGTTGCCCTTCCCCCCACCCCATTAAAGCTTGACTGAATCAAGTACTTGGATCAGTCAAATTGCCAGTTTCAACTTGATCTTAATCACTAAAAAACCAGCAACAACCTGGCCCTTCAGGGACCGCCGCCCATACCTGGCTCATATTGTACTACAAATTATAGCATAATTTTCCAAATGTATTCACTAGGCCTGCAGAAACAGCTTATGATTCAAGATTTCCAAAGCTAAGCAATAGCCAGGACATGTTCTGAGTGTGGGAGATGGGGAAAGGACACTGGTGCTCCACCACAACTGTTGGTGAAAAAACCTTCAGATGAGATGAATTTCTCTTGTAATGTTACCCTGAACTACAATACAAACTAAGTGAAAGTGCTTAATTATCTGGATAGGGCAATTTAATGCTTTTATCTAACAGTTACACAGGTTTGTAGGCGTTCCATATCTCTTGTGCATTTGTTCTGTATGTGGCATTATAGGTTTCTTATAATCGTGCATGCTCTTTGATTCATTGCATAACCCAGACAAAAAAGGCAGCCGTCTAAACACTCACGTTGGCCTAATTCACACCAACAGCAAACCAGTCTTTTCTCAGATCAGAAATCTACACTCTGGTAATAAGGAAAACGCTGTAAAAAAAAAAAAACGATAGCACGGCAACTAACTTACCTCCATGACCAGATAAACACAGCTTGCCATTTCCTGAAAACAGAAACAAAGAAAATGGGACGTAAGTCAGTTTTAATTCAGAAGCCAAAATGATCTTTAGGCTTCTCTCACACATTCTCCCAGTACTCAGTCAGCTAACCTGTCTATTCAAACACAAACTGTGGTCTTTAGACCTCCACCCCATTTTCTTTCATGTTGCCCATTGTACCCCCTCCGCCTCAAATTTCCACTCTCGCACCTGAAATGTCATGATTTGTTTCCTATTTTTGTTTTTACTTTACAGCATGAAATTAATGGCTCCTCATTCCCCCCTCACAGCTCCCCACCTGAAGCATTATTATAGTCTTGTGTTCTAAAGGGTTCATTTGACATCCACTCTAAAAAGAAACAAGACTTTCCTAAACCCTTGCAGATTACATTTTGATTCAAAATGTATTTGTGTGCTTATGTAGAGGCCGTCTATGATGTTCCAGAAGTGAATGCGCTACCCTTGCTCGCTCTTGCTAGCGGATTACATGTAATACTTCCCAGTTGCTTAGTACTGAAACTGTGCAATTATATAAAGGCTGTTATAAAGCTGGTGCCATGAACACGCTTGCTGGCAATATGATATCCATAATTGAGGCTGACAATACCAAGAAAAAAAAAAACGTGATGAACAGAACAAAGGAAAGTCAAAACACATTTCAAGGAGATCAGTACCTTATTGTTTCAGATAAGCATACTTCACTTGTCTTGTAGAATAATGTTATGAAAGGATGGATCAGCAAGGGTTTCTACCTATTATCAGCTACTGCAGTACACAGTTCAGGCCAGGCCATTGGAGTGTCAGCTGTAAGACTTTTGTTTTACAGTCTTGTTTTTGTCTCAGAAAAGGACTGGTGATCAACCTATAAAATGAATGGCTCACTATTCCACAGCCCAAAGATTTCTTGTACATTCAAAATAATTGGAAACAGGGGGAAAAAAATGAATAATTGTATGTTTCACTGGCACAATTTCAAACCAACCCATATGGATCAGGAATCCATATAGTATGCGATTACATGCTAGATGCTTGTACTGTATCACATACACACACAACAAATGCATTTTATCTCCAGGAAAAATGTTCCTAATTATTTCACAAAGTACTGATCGCTTCAGCTTCATCAAATGGAAACCAAAACTGTCAATGGGGATCCAGGCTGGAGAAAAGTGAAATAAGTAGTGTATTAAACATGTCAGATAAAGTTCACTGGATACAACTAGAAACAATGTTCCCTTAGGAGACTTCCGCTGACAAACTATTCTTGATTGTGAAAATTTACCACATAAAAGTTGCAAAAACTTACAACTGTAATAAAAGTACTAAAATAATCAATAACTCTTTATTGAAATCCCCATCTACCTTTTTAAACTGCTGTAATTTCTCCATCAGTAGAAAGACATTTCAAGAAGACCAGAAAGAAATGTGTGCTATTCTGCCCACTTCGCATTTATACCTTTTTCATAAAAATAACTGCAACAAATTTTATCGACTATACATGACTTAAATTGATTACGCAATTATCATTCATCATCAACTGGTTGTCTACTGCTAAAGTCACAGGCTTGTAATGTGTGACCAGTGCTGAAAGCTGTACATCCGTCATGCATGCTGAGATATTCTGTCCTGATCCTCTCACACAGTCTGGACAAACACTGCCTAATCACTGTATTCCAAGGGTTATCCAAGCTCATCCTAAAAAAAGATCACTGGGGCTCAAGTCTACTGAGTAGGGCATCCATACCTTAACTTTCACAAGGTTACATATGAGATACATATCATCAAGCTCATTTGGAAGCTAGTGATATGTTTCATTCACCAGAGCCCTGGATCAAACGGGTTGCTAGAAGCCATTTTACTTCAATCAGAACGAAAAAAATCTTCATGTTAAATAAAACATGAGATTGCAGTGCAAAGAAACCATGTTCAAAGAGAGGCTGTAGGAGCGATCACTATTACCCATATGAAAAGACCAGCAAGCAGCCTGGTGTACCATTTGGCTCAGAAGAGATGTGCTCATTAGCACTAGCAAAAGAGGCTATTTAGCTTACCTCCTTTAATTGCCACGATTACAAAAAAGATAACACAATACAACACACTGTTGAACACCAACACCGTGAACACACTATACTGAAGTACACCAAGTGGAATTTGAAAGAACTTGAGGCTTGTCTTATGAAATATCAAAAGTAAAACAGTCAATTGTTAAAAACATGAAAACAAACCTCCACAGAAAAAAAAAACATGGGTAAATCACACACCAATGTTCACAATCACGCTAGTCTGTGGTGTGAAGCAAGCCATGGTTAGTGATTTAAAAATAATATTTTATAAACATGGAATTGGAGAAATTCTGCTACACGCAGGCTGAGCATTCAGAATGTATATTCTACTACATAAAACACACTGAAAAAGTCACAAGGAATGCTTGGGAGGGAAATGAATTATATTTAATGAACATAATTCAAGAATCTGTCATCTAACACTTTAAAAAAAATCACAGATATAAAAGGGAATTTGCATATTTTCAAAGTGTTTCTTACATGAATATGTGCTACTTTTAACAGAGAAGGTGCTTCATACTCTAGATATCAGTGTTTACTGTAGAAGGCATCAATGGGAAAATAACAGCAGATACAGTACAACTAATCTGGTAGTGCACAACTATCAACAGTAAGGATTCAACTTTGACAAATGTTGCAATGAAACAAAACTACAGATGCATGAGAAGAAAACAGACATTAAGTCTTTCAGAAGTGACCTAAAACTTTCCAAACCCATTGTAAACTCAGGCACCAGTAAAGCAGTTTTAGTTCAAGACCTCCCCCACCATACCCCTCCTGCTATTCTCCTCATCTTTTTTGTATAGCCACAAAGAAAAACCTCTAAACCACAATGCGCTGCACACTCATGGTATCCCTTATCACCTAGTAACAGATGACACCTCATGCAAAGCAGCCTATCAGTTAGGTTGACTGGCAGTTCCCAGGGCCAGCTGCTGCTGACTAAGGGATTTTTTCTTCTGCTATTGACTGGATAAGGAGCAGCAAAGGCCATCTGTTTTCCATTGTCCTTGTAACCAGGCAGATTTAGTTACTGCTGACTGCCTGGCACAGTTTCGCTTATGGCCTACAACATAATCTCTTGTCACCCAACCACCAATTTCTAGATGGATCTCCAGGCATGTTAATTAAGAAAGAGGCATCTGAAATTACCAAGCTAGCTCACGATAATGAAAAGGTCTATCCCAAATGTCTTTAAAGCCTTTATAGAAAACTGTGATATTGAGAACATTAATCTGCAACACTTAACACTGTGACCTACTCCTCAGTATCTTATCCTTCAGGCACAGCTTTCAGCAGGACAAATACTTAAAAGATGGCTTTCAGCGTAATGAAAACGTATAGACTGTTTCAAACAAATAAAACATTTGAGACACAAGGATAAATCCAATGGCGAGACTGAATTTTGATTATGCATTATATATTTTCAAAATAATTTCTAAACAAAGATTTGCTCAACACATTGAAGACAGGCCATAGAAACACTGAAGAAACAACAGCAAAAAGGGTCAAAAACATCACCTAACCATTTCTGCTACCATCTCTTCTGATACTAGAAATGGTCACAGTTAGCAGCCAGTAAACTGATACCTGGCCCAAACTTGCATGCTTTGCAGAGCTGAAACACGATCAACTGGTCTCCTATGTGTAAAATTGGACCTATGGTACATTTCTGAAATGTATACTTAAACAGTCAAAATAAGCAGACAGGGCTTTAAAGCCCTCTGTTGAAGGGATTGTATAAAAATAACTAAAAAATTGCACAATTGCAGCCAAAAAGACTGTTTCGAAAACCTTTTGTGATTAACCAACTTGTGGTCATTTGATGTTAAGTGTCTGAACAGGAAATTAACAATTAATAAAAGATTGTTTCAGTATATAGCCGACGGTGGTGTGTACTTTAAATATTTTAAAAATGCTGCACCTTCTGGATTTCAGAATTTATAATAATTATAATAAAATGGTCGTTCGTCGAACAGAAAATACTCCAAGCACCAAAAGAAACACTGTTTACAACAAACACTGTCACTCTATAACTTTGCGACTATTGTTTCTGTAGCAAGTGCAGCAACTTTATTGACTCCAAGTGTGATGGTGTGGGCACAATTGTCAACTTTTGCACTGTCGCGATGCACTGTCCACAAACCGAGCACTTGGTCAAGTTTCACTTTAAAACATATCAGAATCGTGGAAAACTGTTGAAAACCAAAAAGCCATTCTGTCATGGCAGCAGAGAGCGTACCCCTTTCCATCACTCCAGTTGCTTAAAGATCAAAGCTTTGACAGTATTGGGCAGGACACAGCACAGTCATGCTTCAGATAAGGAAAACTTTCTGATACCAAGGAGACACCTGGAGCTCCTGTCTTCTGCAGAATACTCAGTGGCCATCTGTCATGAACGCCCTCAAGTGACTGCCTAGCTCCTGAGTCTAAACATCTTTTGCAACTCCTTCTGCAGTAACCGAGGCAGCGTTGCTCAATTCCCTGTGACAAGAACCTCACTGCTTTTCTTCCAGATCT